GAGAGATAGATACTCTGATAGATAGATAGAGAGAGAGAGAGAGAGAGAGAGAGAGAGGGAGGGAGAGAGAGAGGGGGAGAGAGAGAGAGAGAGAGAGAGAGAGAGAGAGAGAGAGAGAGAGAGAGAGAGAGAGAGAGAGAGAGAGAGAGAGAGAGATGAGCATGCATCTAAAAGAGCAAGGCCACATGCCCGAGGCGACAGGACGGGTAGCAGGGCAAATAGATACAAAATTACTCCCTCTTTTTTTCCTTTTCCCCACATGTGAGTAGAATCTCTTGGTGGCAGCGTTTTCTTGCCGCGGGCTCATTCTTTCACAGAGAAAGGTCAAGTCCCAGCTTAGGTGTCATAAACAGCCTGTACGGGTTTGAAAGGGACGCAAGGTACGTCCGTTTATTTGAGCAGTAGCAAACTATGCAGCAGGCTACCCTTTCTTTTATGTATTTCAATTCTATTTTAGTTTATTATTGTACGGCCGTCATCTACTATTTTGCTTATTATACTGAGAGTGTTGCAAGTAGTTAAAAGGATTAATGGTTTCTTGTAATGTCTCGCTTTCACTAAGTCTGTCTGTCTGTCTGCCTGTCTGTCTGTACCAAATGTGCAAGCACACACACACACACACACACACACACACACACACACACACACACACACACACACACACACACGTACACACACACGCACACACGTACACACACACACACACACACACACACACACACACACACACACACACACACAAATACAACCACACACACACACCCACACACACATATGCATCTAAGCATAATAGTACATTTGTGTTCTGGAGGAGAAAGAGCAAGAGGAGAAGGAGGAGGAGGAGAAGGTATCCATGGTGATTTTGGTGGTGGAGAGGAAGATGTGGAAAAAGAAGACAAAATGAGAAGTAGGAGGAAGAGAAGGAGGGGGAAGAGGAGGAAGAGAAGGAGGAGAAGGAGGAGAACGAGGGGGTGGAGGTGGTGTGGAGAAAGAGGAGGAGGAAAAGTAGAACGAGGATGAGGAGGAAGAGGAAGACCGGGAGGAGAGCAACAAAGAAAAAGTACAATTCGCAGACGGAATTTCATTTAAAAAATAAGTTCAACTTTTTCAACGACTGGAAACAAGACACGGGTTTCACGCACTGTGGAATGTCGTTTACAAACAGACGCGTCTTTTGGGATTCACAGTGGATTCAAGGCACTTTGCATCGCAGCAATCAGCGAAATTGAACAGAACACTTGTCGACAAATCTTGTGTGTGTGTGATTGGATCGGGGAGGAAAAGGGGGGGGGGGGTCAGACTTGCGAACATATTGTGGACTTTTTACTTTAATCATAGTTTTTCAAAGGGCTAAGGTTAACAAATGCCATCGGCGATTTGTCGTCATCTGGTTTGATATAACAATAATAATAGTATATTATAATAATACAAATACTAAATAGAAACCCATCTGAATGCAATGGGCAGTAGCCATGCATTTGCCGCCGTCGTCCTCATTGTTGTTGTTGTTGTTGTTGTTGTTGTTGTTGTTGTTGTTGTTGTTGTTGTTGTTACTGTTGCTGTTGCTGTTATTATGGTTGATATTGATGATGATGCTGATGTTGTTGATGTTGTTGTTGATTTTAATAATGGTGTTATCGAAAGCATCAAAAGACCTTAATTTTCATAGAAGCCAAATGAAGTTAATTAAGTCAGATATCTATACGTTTTTCATCATAAAAACCACAAGCAATAGAAATTAAAGTGTGAGTGAAGAAAAGTAGCGAACTCATATTGTCGCTTCTAAAATGTGTCAGCGGGGTGTATTTATTGCGTGGACTAGTTCAAAGAAGTGCTGGATATAGAGTCTAGTATGCTTTAATTCAACGATGACTTGTAAGGTATGCTCTGATGTGACTTCGATTTGGCAGCAGATCGATATTTTGGGCTTTTCATAGTAGGATGACTCGCACTGCGAACAATGCTGTCGATCAGTGCTGTTTAGTGTAGAGGAAAAAAAAATTAGGCTTTTGCTGAGATATAGTAGTACACGTTCCATTACACATGAACACACACAGTCTTTCTTACCACACACATACATTCACATAAACAAACACGGATACTCATGCACATACAAACACACACACACACATACACTTCACACTCGGACACACATGCAAAGACATACACACACACCACATACACTGACACACACACACACATGTACCATGCACACACAGACACATAATCAAACGCACACACACACACACACACACACACACACACACACACACACACACACACACACACACACACACACACACACACACAGACACAATATTACCCGCACATATCCACGTTCACACTGAGACAGACATGATCCCACATCGCTCGGCACACACTCACACGTGTGTGCACACACTCTCACCTGAGAGTGTGCAAGTGGTCTAAGAATCTAATTACATACAGCTGGCCGTTGGTAAGACATGTATGTCAGCGCACATGCATAAGTGGTTCCAAGTGAGCGTAGACTGCAATGTTTGTGCTCCTAGTTTACAGCCTCTGTGCATGCAAGACATTCACGCTCTTTTATTTCCTACTTGATTGATCAGAGGATAGAAGGAATAGATAAATCATATTTAATAGAGAGCGAAAAAAGAGAAGAGAGAACTATAGGGGGGGGGGGAGTGAGTGAGTGAGTGAGTAAGTGAGTGGGTGAGTGAGTGAGTGAGTGAGTTAGTGAGAAAGAAAGAGAGAGAGAAAAAGATGTGGGGGGGAGAGAGAGGGAAAAAA